TTGAACTTCTTCCTTGATCAAAGTTTGCACCATGAAATATATGGCCAAAACAACTCACCATATTGATAGATCATGATTTTAGAAATTTTAGGAAAAAATGTCTGATTTGGAGATAGTATGTAGGAGAAAAACTTGTTACAAGATTTTGCCACAGATTTAAAAAAAAAACGTTTGAACAAATGGTGGAGCTGATGAACATCTGAGCCTATATGTCATTGAAACGCTGGTCCACTTGGCACTAGCCTAAATAAGAACTGGGCCCACATGTCATATGTAGAAGGGTGCTTCACTTGTCTTTGAATCGAGCACAGACCACAGAACCCGTCACTTGTTTTGGCCGCTCGGCCTCTATCGCCGGCCACCCCTCCGACCCCCCACCGGCGTCCACACCACCTCAGCCCCCCTCTCTTGGCCAGCTGCAGCCACGCCCCGCCCCTCTGGGCGCCGCCCCTCCCCACATCTCTCTGCTCCCCCTCCCTTCTCACCGCTTGCTATACGTGGCGAGGCAACTCGTGGTGGTGCTTGGCCGGCCAGTTGAGCTGCTCGCCGTCACAGAAGCCCCCACCATGCCGTCACAGAAGCCCCCACCATGCCGTCATAGAAGCCCCCGCCAGTGGAGCTTGGTCGGCCAGTTGAGGCAAGGTGGATCTGTTTTTGCTAAAATAGAAGGTGAGCTGAGTGAAGCAGAGTGTTCCCCTTTTGAATTTTTCTTACATTGCCTTTACTTGTTTGCACCTAAATACTTGCAGATCGAGATGGATAGGAGATGGATTTATAAGAGTGCACCATTTTCACCAGACTTTATGTCTGGCGTTCAACAATTCATGGAACATGTCAGAGGTAGATATGGTGCAGATGACAAAATCAAGTGTCCATGCCGAAAATGCCTGAACCAGAAAGAAATAAGCCAAGATGATGTACAAGAGCATATCGAAATCAATGGTATGTCTAGGTGCTATACTAGGTGGATTCACCATGGAGAGGAAGATAATGATGTTGGTCAAGATGATGATGGAGAACTTGCTGTTGTACCTGAAGATATGTCATGGGATGGAAATGAACAGGCACCACTTGATGAGGAAGGACAAGCTGAAGATGTCATAGAAGATAGTGCACGGGGAGTTCAGGGGATGATTCAAGATTTGCACACGGCAGCAAGCCATGGCTTTGGTGGTGACTTATATAAAGAAATCATAGAAGAGGCAAAGCGTGAACTTTATCCAGGTACCAAAGAGTCTAGGCTAACTTTCATTATTAAGCTGCTGCATATAAAAGTGTATAATCGGATGACAACATCTGGGTTCGATGCATTCCTTGCATTGCTTTCATCATCTTTGAAGAATGTGCCCGGCCTTCCTAAGTCATATAATGAAATGAAAGCTCGCTTGGAAGCTTGGTTTTGGTTATGTTTCTATTGATGTGTGCAAGTATGATTGTGCCTTATTTTGGAAAGACCATGAAGGCGATGATCATTGCCCGCTTGTGGATTCACACGATGGAAAGTGAACAAGGAGGGCAGAAAGAAAGTTCCTCACAAGGTCCTTCGTTACTTTCCAATTATTCCACGCCTTCAGAAGCTTTTTATGTCGAAGGAACGGGCACAATATGCAAGATGGCACAAGGAAAAGAGGGTACCAGTTGAGAATGAAATGAGACATCCTGGCGATGGGGAAGCTTAGAAAGAATTTGATGAGACTTTCAAGTCTTTTGCAAATGATCCCCGAAGTTTGAGGTTAGCCATTTTCTGAGATGGATTTAACCCATTTGGGCGGATGACCAATTCATATAGCATATGGCCGGTGATAGTGGTTCCATACAATTAGCCACCATGGATGTGTATGGATCAATCCAATTATATGCTTGCTTTGCTAATTCCGGGCAAAAAAATCACCGGGCAAAGATTTCCATGTGTTCATGCACCTCTAATAGCAGACTTGATTACTCTTTGGGGTGGTATCCCTACTTATGATCTTTGTTGAAGGCAAGAATTCAGGATCGCAAGCAGCGATTCTATGGGGAATCAATGACTACCTGCATTAGGCACCTTGTCAGGCAGAACCACAAGGGGTTACTTTGCATGTGTGCATTGTGATGAGAATCCATGTTCTGAATGCCTGAGAAACAAGATTGGTTTCATAGGACATAGATGTTTCCTTCCACATGACCATCCCTGGAGGAAAAACATAACTTTTGATGGCCACCATGAAAATAGAGACCAGCCAAGGAAATTTAGTGCAGATGAGGTTATGGCAAGGTTGGATGAAATTAACTATGTTCCAGGCAAGAATCTAGATATGCCAAAATCAAGAAAAAGACGCCGTAATGGAGAACCAGTTTGGCATTTGAAGGTTAGCTTGTATGATTTGCATATTGGTCAAAACTGAAGCTACAATACAACCTTGATGTTATGCACATAGAGAAAAACATATGTGACAACATTTTGTCAACTCTACTTAATATTCCTCACAAGACAAAGGACACAATCATTTAGAGACTAGATTTGGAAGATAGAGGTATAAGAAAAGAGCTTCATTTGGTGGAAGACTCCTCAAAGCCCAAAGCTTGTTACGTTCTAACACCGGAGGCAAAGAAAAAGTTCTTGGAGTATGTGAGCAATGTTAAATTTCTAGATGGCTACGCCTCTAATATATCAAGATGTGTCAATCGGAGGGAGGAACAATGCATGGGCTAAAAACACATGACTCATCATATCTTTGCTTCAACGTTTTACCAAATGCCCTTCGTGGTTTGGTGCGCAAAGATGTATATGAAGTACTTGCTCAATTGGGAAGGTTTTTTAGACAACTTTGCTCAAAAACTATAAAGGCTGGTGCACTACACCAGATGAAGAATGATATTGTCATTATCCTTTGCAAGTTGGAGAAAATTTATCCTCCTGCATTCTTCGATGTTATGGTTCACCTAGCAAAGACACTTACCGGATGAGGCACTCCTTAGGGGACTAGTTCAAGATGCGGGTGGATGTATCCCATTGAGAGAAGATTGGGCACCTTTAAGCGTTTCATCCGCAACAAAGCAAGACCAGAAGGATCTATTGCAGAGGCATACACTGCCTATGAGTGTATGACCCAGTGCTCAACATATTTTAGTGACATTATTAATAGGTTCACTAGGCCCGAGAGAAACTTTGATGGAGACATGTCACCCAATGGTTACTCTATTTTTGCACATGGTAATAACCTATTGGGTGCTTCAAAGTTACATTACGAAGATAAAGACTATGACTATGGTTTGGTTTGTTCTAAATAATTGCGAAGAGGTTGATGAATACAAAGAGTGAGTAATTGTTGTGATGTCATTGCATATAACTTTATTCAATATTGGTGTCACAAAAACTAATTAACTTATTCCTTTATTGCAGCTTGTACAGGGAAGAATTAGAACACCAACAGGTGAATGATATTGAAAAAGTGATGTCAACACAATTCGCTGCATGGTTCGAGAAACATGTGTGTGCAACTTAAGAACCTTTGACTAAATGAATTATGATTCAGTATATTTTCAAAGTAACTAATTCTCTATCTTTGCAACCTGTAGATTACCAGATTGAAATGCGAAGGCACAACTGACATTGATGAAGACCTATACTCACTTGCATGTCGGCCGATCAACCGTGTGCGTTCATACACAGCATGTATAATCAATGGGGTAAGGTACCACACTAAGGCTCATGAAGAACATAGGCAGACACAAAACTCCACCATCAAAACTGAGGGTACTCACAATGATGGCACTATTGACTTCTATGGCACAATCACAGACATTATTGAGTTGACTTATGCTAAGAACAACAAAGGAAATAGAACTATTACCTTATTGCGGTGTGAATTTTACAATCTTTAGGGAAGGATATACCAAATGAAAGATGATGGTTATTTCAAGAGCATTAACATCCAAGGTCGATGGTATAAGAATGATCCTTTCATTCTAGCCACAGAAGCTTCACAAATATTTTTCTTGGAAGATAACAAGTTAGGTCCATCATGGCGAGTGGTACAAGATTTTGGCCATCGACATATATTTGATGTAGAAGAGTCCAACACAAACCAACCAATCCATGAACAAGTGCAGATGAGATGTCAGGAGGCATACCAAGAGGAGAATACTTCTTCCAGAGATGGTATAGTTGGGGACATTTATCCTGAAATGGATTTGCTGCACATGGATCAGCCAGGCAGCCCTGTCAGTAGAGACCTTGTCGAGAGCATCCGTCGACATGAACATATAGCTCAAGGTGAAGAAACATACGGCGAAGATGAAGATGACGAAGATGAAACCTTCCTTGAGTACCATAGTCCAGATGAAGGCAATATGGCAGATGAAGACAGTGATGATGACTAAACTTTGCATTTCTAGAGATTTTTGTGAACCATCCACTTCTATTAGTGATTCTGTTGTAATTCTGAACCATGAACTTCTATTAGTCATTCTGTTGTATTTGTGAACCATGAACTTCTTTATGTGCCTTTTTTTGTTGTAAGACATTATATGCAATGGTTATATTTCAATGGATATTTCATTCATGATGCAAGTTACTCAGGCTATAGTGCTGCCCAGATTTCATGGACATGATATATGTATATACTGTTGCCCAGAAAACATGCTGCAAGTTTATATGACACATGACATTGTCATGTAAAATACAAAGTTTGTCATGTAATGCCCAAAAAATCTGGAGCAGGTTATATTTCTGAGATTATGACCAAAGACAATGTCATGGAAACTACAAAATTGTCATAATATATACATTGTGCCAAAATTTCATCCCACACAGGTTACACATCAAACACAGATCACAATTGCACAGGTTACATATTCATGCACACAAGAGAGGTCCAAGAGCACAAAGGCCCATAGTTCATACATGTCTTACCAAACACATACATCCAGCACAATAGGTTCAACATGTTCTTGCCAACACTACAGCTTTTGTCAACATTACAGACAAAACACAAAGGCCCACACTTCATCACAATTGCCTACTTCAACACAACAGCTACAACCAAGAAGATGGCCAACAAAAGGAATATTGTTACATTCACACATCCACACACAAGACAAATGTAGCTTCCTATGCCTTCCCTGTTCTTGCCAACCATCTCCTTGACCTTGTTCAGATTTTCCTCTAAGCTTTCAATTTTTCCCACAAGCTCAGGAACATCTGTTGTCGAAGCTGCTGCAATGGTTGGGTGAACTGACGGTAGGTATCCATTATCAACAAGAAACACCACATACTCTTCCTCGAACCAATACCTAGAACATGACCCCTGCATCCAAATTACAACAATAGGGAATGAAATTAGGGCAAACAAGAAAAAAAATTTGGGCAATGCAAATTGAGCAACTGCACTGACATTTCCATAGCTCTTCCTAGGACACTTGAAAAATCTCTTTCCTTTGTTAGACCTAGACTTTGTCGTGGCAGCAAACACCCTAACATCCCTACAATCTGGGCATCTAATCAACGGCAACCCAGTCACATCATCGATCGGTGCCTGTAGATCGACGGCACTGGCCAGAGGCGCAGCATCCACAACAGCAAGGGGTCCAGGTTCCTGGGCACTCCTAGCCGCGCTTGAACGACAATTGTGAGCATTAGATGATGAAGCCTACGACATTAGCCCTAATTAAGAGAGAGGGGATTGATTAGGAACTGCAATGGCAACACAAAGAGGAGCAAGGAGGGGGATGAGGGTGATACTGCCGACCAAATGGAGGGGGATAGGAGGGGAATGACGGTGGCACTGCCAACCATGCGCACCTGGGGAGTAGGAGCACACGGCCTACAAGGTGATGGAGTGGCGCCGGTCACCGAAGATCCGTGCTCCGCCGGCCACGCTTGCAGCGGATCTTGAGCTGCCTCCGCCCAGAGGCCGCCACGCCATCAGTTGTGGAGAGGTGAAGCTGTCTCCACCCTGAGCCCTCTCGATGCCGGCCAGGCTCGCCCAGATGCCGGGACCCACCCTCCGCTCGCCGCCCTTCGCTCCAACTAGGGGCCGCCGCCGGATATCCACCACCGCCGCCTGCTTCAGTCCAGGTCGGGGAGACGGGAGAGGGGACGACTGAAACTAGTCAACACAAAAATGGGTAGGGTCCACCTACAGGGGTATATTGCCGTTGGAGCGTGTCTTTTATTTGGGAAAAAATAAGGTGACGCCAGAAAACCGTCACATAAAAACAGGTACTAGCGTCACAAAAAGAAACCGTCAACCGGCAGCTGGTGAATGACAATTTGTGACGAAAATTTATACCTTTCTGTGACACAAAGTTCAATGTCATCATAAATAGTTCTAAACCTCGTGAGTTTGTGACGACAGGAAAAATTTCGTCACAAAATGTAACATTATATGACGAAATCAGTCCTCGTCATGAGGAGTTTTGTCATAAAAAGAAGGATTTCTTGTAGTGCTAGTGAAGAACTTCTTCTTCTTGCCGTCGAACTTGATGCCACTCTTGTTTAGCTTCTTTAGCATCTTGGTGGCTTTCTTCACCATGAGAGCAAGATTTTCATCTTCATCTTCTTTATCACTTGAGCTCTCATATTCAAGTCTTGCTTTGCCCTTATCTTGGCTAGCTTTGAATGCTAAGTCTTTTTCTTTCTTCTTTGTAGAGGATGAGCCATCTTGTGGCATGATGTGCATGTACATCTCATGAGCATTGATCTTTCCCAAGATTTGTGTCAGTGTAGCGGTGGAAAGATCACCTTGGTGTAGCACGGTCACAATATGGCCATATTTGTCAATGGGGAGGACACTCAAGATCTTTCTCACAACGTCGGATGGTGACATTTGAATTAGTCCAAGCCCATTGACTGCCTCTACAAGAACATTCAAACATGAATACATCTCATTAGCACATTCTTTGGGAAGCATCTCAAATGAATTTAGCTTTTTAATAACAAGATGATGGCGTTCCTCATGCTCACCCTTAGTTCCCTCATGGAGCGCACAAACATCCGACCATAGTGCATGGGCGTCTTTGTGGTTCCTTACGCGGTTGAACACATCTTTGCAAAGGCCTCTAAAGATGGTGTTGCGAGCCTTTGCATTCCATTTTTCATAATTCACTTCATCGCCTTGTAAGTGAGTAGCATCCCGAGGTTTTGGGAAGCCTTGTGAGGCGGCTCTAAGTATACCAACGTCTAGAGCTTCTAAGTATGCCTCCATGCGAATTTTCCAATATGGAAAGTCATCTCCCTCAAAGATAGGAGGAGGTCCATCCCCGTGAGACATCTTGCTTTAAGCAGTTAAGCTTAAAAACATGAGCACGAGGCTCCGATACCAATTGAAAGGATCAAGATGCCCAAGAGGGGGATGAATTGGGCTAATTCTAAATTTTCTTGCAATTATTAAATCCTACGGATAGCCCAATTAACCCCTTGTGCCTAGAAAGGTGTTCCTATCAATCTAACGCACAAAGGACTTGCAACCTATGTTCCAAACTTACTCTAGCATGGCAATTCTATGAATGTAAGAACAAGTATTGAATTGCACAAAGTAAATGCTCAAAGTAAATAGAGAGAGAGAGAGGGACGCGGCGATGTTTTGCTGAGGTATCGGACAGTAGCCACTCCCCACTAGTCCTCGTTGGAGCACCCGCGCAAGGGTGTAGCTCCCCCTTGATCCGCACAAGGATCAAGTGCTCTCTATGGGTTAATTCTTCGACACTCCATCGTGGCGAATCACCCAAAGCCGCTGACAACTTGAGTTGGGTCACCCACAAGCACCGCCGGGTGATCACCAAGCTCCCAACCACCACCAAGCCATCTAGGTGATGGCGATCACCAAGAGTAACAAGCACAAACTCTCACTTGACCACGCGAAGCCTAATGAGAATGGTGGATGCACACTTTGCTACTCTTGATTCACTAATGAGGCTACTCTCTTGGATTCTCAAATCTCAATCACCTCACTAGGACCTTGCTCTTCTTGGCACTCACAAATGTAATTCTCAGCTGTTGGAATGAGCAAAAGTACCCCCTCACACGAAGGGATCAAGTATTTATAACAGCGGCTGAAAAATAAACCGTTATGTGCCTCTGCTGGGTGACCGGACGCTCTGGTCGTGTTGACCGGATGCTCCGGTCAGTTCAACCCGCACACCAGTGTTTAAGTGTTGACCGGACGCGTTCGGTCGCATTTTCTCTCTCACTAGAACCTTACTGTACTCAACCGGACGCTGAACCCCCAGGGTCCGATCAGTACTGACCGAACGCGTCTGGTCGTAGATTCTCTTCTCTGGAACCTTACTGGAGTCGACCGGACGCTGGCCCTCAGCGTCCGGTCACTTGACCTCCAGCGTCCGGTCGCAACAAATGATTTCTCCTTGGTCAAATGAACTGATCGGACCCTGTGGCCAGCGTCCGGTCAGTATTTGACCCTCCATTCACTTCCAACTCTCGATCATATGTGAATGAAGTTTGCTCCATTGGATCTAAGGACAATGTTGGAGCTACCTAGTGCTAGACTTAGCAAGTGTGCACCACACCTAACTCACTAGACTCACCTAGGTCAAGCTACCTGTCCATACCCCCCTTAATAGTACGGCCAAAGGAAAAATAAAGTCCTAAACTACTCTAAGTGTCTCTCTAACTCCAATCGACACTTAGAACTAGTCATCCTTAACCTTGTCGTCCATCCTTTGAAAACCAAAATGATTTCCATCATAGGGGCATGGCCTCCATGATTTCCCACTCGATCTCCATTACCATGACCTAACTTAATTGCCTCTGCAAAACACACGTTAGTCATAGTAATCTTGTATTGTCATTAATCACCGAAACCCAACTAGGGGCCTAGATGCTTTCAAGGATAATATAGATTAAATTATTTAATTATTTGGTTAAGGTAGTAGGTTTTATGGTAACATAGGGTGGTGGTGAATGGGGGAGTTAGGACTTGCCTTCGTTGTACTCTCCTTCCAGTTCGATGTAATCTGGGTCCTCGTTCTCCTGATACTCACAGTTTTCTGTCAGCCGTTGCTAATAAATAAGGCTACCGCTAAACACAAAAGTAAACACAAAAGCAAACATAGAACTGTATGGTGGCACTAGGTACAATATGTAGGGTTTGATTTTAGAAGAATTTTGGTGGTGGTTTCATGAAAAACGGATTTAAAATGGGAGAGATATGATTTTTAGGGTTTTTAAATAGGGTTTTGGAGTTTGTGGAATTTTGGAGATTTTTGTGTAGATGTAAATGTCATGGTAAAGGTATGGGTAGGTTCTAGGGTGTCTCTAATTTTTTAGGAATTTTCCCAGAATTTTTCTAAGCCTGGAAAGTGGTTTTCTAACACTTTGTGTATACTATTTGGGGGTACCTAGCATTTTTAGGGTGTAGGAGCTGTGGGGGTGTGCCGGTCCAGGGCACTGTGCTGTGGACTGGTGCCCTATCTCTACGGCTCACATCTAGGGCAACTCTAAAAGAGTGTTCGTACCTAGCATGATACCTGGTTTGGAAAATTGGGAAAGAAATTACTGTCCAACAACTTCTCTATCTAGAATTACAAAATACCGAGTTGTGTATCCTCTAGTTCTTGGTCGCTAGGGAATTTAGCAGAAAGGATTAGAGGAATGTGAATTTTAATCTAATTTTATTTTTAGATAAAAATTTCATATTAATTCACTATAGTTACTTTTTCTCCAAAGCACTAAAGTTACTTATCCTTTTTCCAACTATTCTAGTTTGGGTTAGGTTTACAAAAGCCATTGTCAATTTGATTAGGGTTCTAGTGCAATATATGGCAGATTAGGTTTGGGATACCGTGAATCCAATGGTATATAGGTTTATGGTTTGCCAAAGTTAATGGTGCACATTCACGGTGGTAAAGACAAATAAAGATCACAAGAGCACATCTTAGGATCATGAGTTCCTGACAGCCATATTAGTACCAATGAACATGTTATCACTTAATCACTAACAACAAAAGAAAAGTTATGGTCTAAGGCCTACATTTGCTGCACATGCTCCATTAGGCCTAAGAGCACATCTTCATAATAAGTCACACCTCTACTTACTACCAAGGTTATAAGTGATTATTAACTCTACCATTCTAGTTGAAAAATTCTAATAAGCATGAACTAGATGTTTTGTTGGCTGGTTATCTAACTAGGCCAAGCTCAAGTGATGCAAAGTACCCGTTGACATACCAAGTTATCTCAAATACAATTAATTTGCTCATTTTTAGGTGTGGACACAAGATTTGTATTTTAGAGTTCATCTTTTAATGTGGATCCCATATATAGATTAGACCTATATCAATAGGCTCAAAGTAGCTATGTATTGAGTTACATCCAGACCGTTGATGTCTGTCCGGATGTTGCTCTGGACTCTACTATGCATGAGGTCTGGACCCATGCCCCTGGGTTCGGACCTTCCATCGTCGCCAGTCACCAGCCACCACGCGTCCCTCATTCAAATCTAGCCGTTGCGCGCGCTAGACAGCACGTTCCCACGTGTCCGGACTCTGCCTCTAGACCAATGAATAGCAAGCATCCGAACCAAAGAGTAGTGGAGTCCGAGCAACTCCAGTAAGGGTCCAGAGAGCCAAAATGGCTTCGAACTCCGTCCACCAGGCCGTCCGGACCAAGGTCCACGGTCTGGACCTCCCCCAGCTGCTCATCGTGCGCCACGTCACTTCAACTAGACCGAGCGCCAATGGTCCGGACCTCCTGGCACAGTAGGGTCCATGTGGCAGAACCGCCTAATCTAATGCTCTCTCAAGGGTACTTGTCTTCCACTAGACACTGAGTACCCAAGCGAGGACACAAAATTATACAGTTCTATCGAGCACACCCCGAGGGAGAACTCGAAAATCCACATTTTTCCATTAGGATCATAAATGAGAGTATAAATCTTATAACATCTTTAGCCATTTCTTACATTGT